ACACGCTCCCACGGCGGGGACGGAAGGGCTGCATATGGCGCTCGGCTTTAACAGCTGAGCTTTAAAAAAAGTGCAGCTTTTCATCTCACTGAACCAGCTCCCAAATTAGGAGGTGGGGAGGGAGACCAAGCTGGGGTGGGGAGGGGGGCGTGCAGGAAAAAAAAGACAGGACGGGAAGAGTCAGCCTCCGACATTGAATTTGATTTTGCAAGGAATTTCAGACTATTATGTGCTCAGAAGCTCCCTGTGGAAGAAAAAATAATGCTCCCTGTTTGTCATCCCCAAGTTTACTAATTTTAAGTTGCTAATATTTTTTTTAAACGACTTGCTTTCTTTAGTTTTATTTATTTATTTTGGACAAAAATGAAAGCATCTAGCTATGAAGGAATCATGCACACGCTTTATATTGGGGTTTAAAAAAAATTAGTAAATTTACAAATGGGATTATTGCTTTCCAAAGTTCTGCTCTGCAAAGGGATTAGTCGCCACCATGCCCGGGGGGTGTTCCCTGGTCCTTCTAATTCCCCGCCTAGAGGTGAGAAGCTCCTGGAAAGGAACAGGAAGAAGGATCCTGATATCCGGCAGTTTTCCTGGAATTGCCTGGAAACTTTTACTTTCTGTTTCCTCTGCTGATAATGACTGTCTTCGGCTCTGCAGCCAGCTCCCCTCTCCCCCTCCCAGCCCCCTGTTGCTGCAGCCATCCCCGAGCTCCAGTATAAAGTTTGGCTTTTGCAGCAGGAAGCAGCTGGGCCAAGCAACCAGCGAATGATAATGACCTCAGAAATCTGCTGTTCGCTCGGCAACAATAGGGTGCTCAGTCTACTGGAAAATTGTGTTCATCAGCTAACTCTGCTCAGTTACTAATTGACATTGCCAAATATTTTAAGAACAATTGGAATGCACAAGCAAAAAAAAAAAAATGAAGATCTTAATCCTCAGACTTAAATTTTTCTTTTTCTCTCCTCTTTTTTTTTTTTTCCTTCTTTTGGATGCCTGGATTTGTTCATGTGGAGCAGGCAGTGGTGATCATGAATGGGGGGCAGGGAGGGGGAGCCACAAGAGAAAAAGAGGTGGAAAAGAAAGAAAATCTATCATATCACTATACACCCGATGTAAATGCAAGGGAGTCCCGGATAAAGGCCTTTGATGCTGTGGTCAATGGGCCTACACTGGATGGAGACCCAGCATTTCAGGAATGCTGCTCCAGCAACAAAGGGAGACCCCACAAGGATCTTTATCCCAGCTGATCAAATAATCCTTGACCATCTCAGAATATTACAGCACAAGAAGCAGGGGTTAACAATATTTTCATCTTTGCTTTTCATTGATCATGCAACTTAGCCGACTTTATTTAATGAACAGAGGGTCAATGCATTCAATTACCCCCTTCCCACCATCAACACTTCAATTATCCCCACTCCAAAATTATGGGGAACTCGGAAGGTAACTGCCCTGTTGGATATAATGAACAGTATCGTTTCTTAGAACATTAAGTTTTAATTATTCTAAGCGTGATTTCCAAAGCAAAATCTGGGGAAACCGAACTTGGGTCGTTTTCGGACTCAGAGTCAAGCTAGGATCGGAGCCCAGGTCTTAGAGGAGGTTTCAGGGAAAGATGCAAAGATTAATGCCATCAGAGCATTTGCACGCAAGCCAGAAACAAGGAAGCATCAAAACTGCAGCCCCACTCTCTAAATGTCATAAAAGAGTACAATTTATAAGCTGCTGCTTTCCAAATAGTTTCCCCTTGCCTTGAACACGGAGGCGAGCAGTGACATCTAGGATGGTGTGAGATTATTGGTGAGTCAAATAAACAACAACAACAACAACAACAAAATAAAACAAAGGGAAAAGAGGGGGAAGTGTGACTGGTTCTGTCCATTTTCTGTTAGAAAATATGACCTCTCAATTTGTCAAAGGTCCTAGTTTTCGCAGTTGATCTTGAGCTTGGTTCTCAGCAGTTTGGAGAGCCAAAGAACAAACACATTTTCTGGTTCACTGGAATCATTTTCACATGTTCACTGATTCAAACATTCTTTTGCTCACATAACAAACAGCTGCATCCCACATTAGCCTAGCCAGTGACAGTCGCCCATCTCGGCAATAACTGTTTGATTGCAAACTTGACCCCTTCTTCGTCTCGGTCTGAGCAAGACATTTTTAAACAGCCACTCCGTTCCCAATCCTCCTTTGCAAAGAATTACATCAGATAACAAAGGACGCCTCTGCCACTCATTGTAAGCCTTCTTCTAGAGATCTGTTCTAAGAGGCTCTGGTAAAAAGGTTTTTTATGATGAATTCAGAACTACTATCATGTTAAGAGCAGCGATTTATAAAGAAGAATTCATTGGTTAAGATCTGAAAAAATAGTTTCTCAGGCCCTACTGACCCAGTTTTCAACAAAAAAAAGAATCAAGTGATGCAAATTAAGTTTTGCGACATTGTTATGCAGTCTGAGAAATTTGTAAAACCGTGTTTTGCAGTTATTTCTTAATAGAAGCCTTAATAAGAACTTCTTTCTTTACTTAAGGGCTTAAATTTTTTTTTTTTTTTGCTCCCCTTCACCTTGCAGGTTTCTAACAGGTAATAATAAAATACCTATTGTGTCAAGATTTTTTATTTAAATGCTTATTTTAAGCATACTTTATACAAGTAACACTTGTTAGAAATAAGAGGGGAAACTAACCAGATTTGGTTGAGAGTCCTAAATCCCAGGAAAACCTGAAAGCCCCAGACACACAGCTGATTTAGGCTGCATATTGGTATGCCATCAATTTCTTACTTAGTCGGAAAATTATGAAAGGGTCTAATTTGAATATGAAGAAAACAAAGAAGTCAACCAGAAATGAAAGAATCAGTATTCACAATTGTAAAATCCTTCAATGAGGGAAATAAAAGTGAGAAGATAACTGCAACCCAAGTATAATTCTCTTTTGAGTCAATAAGCATGGTTGGTTCTTTTAAGCAAAATAGGTTTTTGCTTTTTTTTTTTTTTTTTTCTCAACAGAGTATTTAGAGACAGGAAAGCAACAGAGATAGGAATAGCACGAGGCTATCACTTGGCCAGAAGGTGAGAAAAACACGGTAAACACGTCATTAATGAAGCCGAACATTTGGTGTCGGAATATTCTGCTGATGAGACCCTCTCGTTTTAGAAGGTCTGGGAGAGGGATGGAAATCTGTCAATGTGAACTCCACGTCACTCCCAAAACTTAGGGGAGCCTTTTGGTTCTTTGCTTCCTGCCCCTGAAAGGTCCCTCATTCAAGAACAATTGAGACTATGGTCCCCAGAAGAGAAGACCCCTTCCTAGGAGGTTGGAAGGAGTCCTTCCTGGCAGACAGCCCCGGTGTGGCCATCTTTACAGAGTTCCTGCTGTCAGCCAGGGCAACTTGAAAGCCTTCCCCTGCCTCTGAGTATGTTCCGCATGGTAGTTGTTCCCTGTAGTATGACCTCATCCTTCCTTCCGTGGTGCTCACGTTCCTGGTTAGACTCTTCCACAGTGTCTCACCAGCCATAAATCGCGAGCAAGTCTAGGACTCCAGGAGTAGACAGTGTGTTTCATGGGTATTTAAGCAGCAGCATTAAGTGCTATCGGAATCTCTGGAATGTGCAGCCCAGATTTATGTGTCTTAACAATTCTTTACTGGTTGGTAAAAAGCCTCCACACTCACACTTTATTTTAATACTAATTTTGTCCTAGGAGAAAGGTAGGCTGAAGCATGACAATAACAACAAAACCAAACTGGCACCTACTTAATAACTGTAGCAGTGGATTGCCTCTGAGACCGAGATATTTATCGAGACTGAGAAGGGGCGGGGGGTGGGGGGAGGAAAAAAAAGAAGAGAAGACCAAACTTTTAAAAAATGACCCTCAACAGTGTGCTGCCACATCTTTAACAGTGGGCAATGCAGTGCCTCGAGGTGCCTCAAACTGTCTTTCATTTTCTAGACTTAATGGCTGATTGCAGAAATCAATGTTGCCATTAGTAACAGGGTATTTGTTATGGCATGATTTCCTCTGTTGTTAGGCTGCAGAATGATTACAGTATTAGCGAGGTGCTTTCTTTATAAAGGGCCAGAGATATAACTTTCAATTTACTATCCATTAGTAAGGGACTTTGGAAATATGGATGAAGGCAACCTCTTACCTGCTGTTAGGTAGTGATTTTAATTTAGCCGTCTTAGGCTAGTTTTTTTTTTATTATTTTTTCCTTTCTTTCTTTTTTTTTTTTTTTCCCAAACAGGGCCAGGAAGCTTCAGCGTTTCACAGACATTTTGATGACAGATTTTTCTGCTTTGCTATTTTAGACCCCAAAGCTGTATCACCCATGTAACAAAGTACAATTTAAGACAGACAGGCAAGCATCTGGGTTTCAAATCTCTGTGTTTGGCTAAACCATTGGAAGGAAGTGGCTCCACCACTCTCTGGGTCAGATAGACTGAACAGGTGAGGCAGGTTGGAATTTTGGAAGGAGACAAGAGATACATTTGCTGTGGAGGTGGAGACTGGGAGAGAATTCCCAAATGAGGGATTTCTGGGAATATACTAAGTGTGTTGGGTGGGGGAGATGGCAAGGGTTCCACCTTCCACATTCGCATCCAGAGATGCAGCAGAACACCAGCTCCTGGCTTCTGGAGAGGAGGTGATACTGGATAGGGTCAGAGTGTAAATGGGGCTGAGCAATTGCAGGGGAAGGGCAAGCTATGCCCCATTAAAAAGCATGCCACCTGGCATCTCCACCCACGTGGGAGGAGGACAGCTGTCTTTCCTGGTAGCCAGTGTTCAGGGGAAGGCCAAAGAGTTGGAATGACAGCCCTTGCCCTGAGACAGGGCAGCCTGAAGGAAAGGGTGGCACTGCCCAGCATCCCACCTGCCCACCGTAACAACATCCAGACACAGTGACCTCCAAAGTGACTAAAGGCCCAGGTGCAGAACCAGGCAACCCTGGGCAGGACCCTTCTGCAAGCTGCTTGTCCCCATCCTTCCCAGCCAACCTACCTGAGGAGGACGGCGAGGAGGGGTGTGGACTGTCCTCCTGGGCACTTCCAGTCTGGGAGAGGCCGCCTCCGACCCCGCTCTCCTCAGTGACGTTGGAGGAGCCAGGTGTGGTGGAGCGGCTCACGGACTGGGACTCCTGGTCACTGCCTGAGCCACGCCGCTCGTCCAGACCCGCGTGTAGCCCGTCCTCGTCACCCTTGCGGTCCCGCTTGTGGACACGGGAGTGCACGACCACCTGGTGGTAGGTGCGGAACACCCGGCCGCAGTCAGGGCACTCGGTGGGCTTCTCCTTCATGTTTCCGGGACCCTGCAGGTTATATTCGAGCGTCTGGTTCAGCCCATGTGACAAAAACTCCCGACTGCCTTCTAAAGGGTCGAGCTTATTTGGCAGGTCTCTCTGATTGCCCACTTTAGTGCTGTGAACCAAATCAGCAGGCATTTTCTGCTTAGAGCCATCTGCTCCCACTAACACGTACTCCCGCTTCTCCTTATCAAACATAACTCCAGCGTTTGCCAAAGTGTCTTCGTGGTTGCGCTGTAGCTGATGCTCTTTAGATAAGAAGCCATGTTCCATGGCCATGCCCCTGGCCATGAGCTGCCAAGCCTGGTAGCTGTTCACCGGGTCCATCTCTGCAGCTTTGGCAGCCGCCTGCAACCGCTCGATGCAGCTGGATTTGAGTGGTGGCACGAGGTTGAGGCATCCCAGGAGGGAGTGCTTGTCCCCCTCGGGGACACCGTGGGCCATGCTGGAGATGGGTGACAGCAGCTTCCCTAGCACCTCCTTCTCCTTCATGGGCAGCTCCCCTTTGCCATAGAGCTGGCTGGGTTCGCTCAGGCTGGCTTTGTCCGGGGCCATGAAGCCACTCTGCAGGCAGGAGAGGTACCGGGAGTACAGGTTGGCATGGGCCTCCTGGGACATGCTGCCCATGCTCACAGGCACCTCGGGCTCACTGGGGGACTTGTTTTTCACCGACAGCTTGTTGAGGTGGACCTTCATGTGGTTCTTGAGGAACCACGGCTCTTTGAAGCGCCGGCCACAGATCTGACAGCAGTGCTCGAAGGAGTCTTTGTGCTTCCGCATGTGGCCCTTGAGGAACCAAGCCTGGCTGAACACCTGGCCGCACACCTCGCACCGGAACTCGTTGGCCGATTGCTCCCCGCCCGCGTTGGGGCCCTGACCCTGAGCGGACTCGGCGGTGATGTGGGCCTTCTCCACGTGGCTGATCAGCTCCTCCTCCTGGGAGGCCGCGAAGTCGCACAGCGTGCACTTGTAGGGCTTGTGCAGGATGCGGATGTGGCGGTCGAGTTCCTCCCGCTTCTTGAATTTGCCCTTGCAGAAGGTGCAGCGGAAGCCAGCCGCAGGGGCCACCGCGTCCTCCTGGACGCTGGTGGGCTTGGGTGAGGGTACAGGGTTGGCCACATCGGGCACGCTGTGGTTGGCAGGCAGCGCCAGGTTGCAGGCCGCCAGCGGGGCCTGCTGTGCGTGCTGCAGGGGCTTCAGGTCCGCCCGGGGCTGCAACAGGCTGCTCTTCATCTGCTTGTCCCGCAAGATGGCCCTCTCCTCCAGCTCGTGCAGCAGGCGGTTCTCCTCGCGCACCCGCCCGCGCCCCTTCCCCAGGTTGCCCAGCTTGTGGGTCCGCAGGTGAATCTTGAGGTTCCCCTTCTGCGCCGCCCGGTGGTCACAATAGGGGCACTTGAAGGGCTTCTCTCCTGTGTGGGTGCGCATGTGCAGGGAAAGGATGCTGTTGAAACGGAAGCGTTTGCCACAGAGAGGGCATGGGTACTTCCGGTTTTTGCGGGCATCATCCTCGATGTCGCTCATCTGGGACATGATGCCCAGGTTCTGCCCATTGAGGAACTGCTGCAGGTCCACCCGACCGTTGAGGCTGGTGTCAACATCGCGACCCAGCTGGTTGGCCAGAAGCGCCATCTGACTGCCCATGGGCTGGCCACTCATGGGCACATGTGACTTCTCATCTAAGGGTGCAGGGGTCTTCTCTTCGGGGTTGGGCCGCGGATGCAGCTCTGGGAAGGCATGGCTGAGCTGGGAGGTGATCTGGTGCAACTTCTGACTCATGGCATACTGGCCGTTGAGGACAGGGCCACTCAGGTGAGGCTCAGCTTCAGGTGCCGCCGAGGACACTCCAAGGCACAGACTCGCTTCTTCCATCCCTACAAATAAAGACAAAGATCAGATCCGTGCCAGAGACCATGGTGCAAAAGACCCACCGGCATCAGCTGGTGGCAAATTTGCATTTCATGCCTTACCTACACATAATAATGATAAGGAATTATAGTCAAAAACAATAATAAAAAAATGAATTATTAAATGCCAATTATGCAATATGGCATTGCGCCTCCAATTTGTTTTGGCGATAGAACGTCTTCCTTGTATTTTCTATTTACAGAGGGCAATTATTCATTCACATTTAAATTATTAATGTTTTACCACTTTCAACACCTAATAACAAATCAAGGGGCTACGTGTTAAACTTTTCCTCCTTTTACCCCATGAAGCACCTGTACCTGTTGGTTCAGTTCAAAGTTTGCTTTTACAGCAGAAAGGCTTTCACTGTGAGACCAAACAGACTCACTATGAACTTTTGTTTCCATTCACTATATTCAATACGCTAACCAGTCTGAGATGAAAGAGATCGTTTTATGATTTGGCCAAAAAAAAAAAAAAAAACCCAATGGCATGATATTTACTGGTACATAATAAAACAAGATAATGTTTTGGGAAAAAATAAAGTAAAGGACAGGCTTTAGAACAATAAAAGGGATTTTGCTTTAGTCAACAAAAAGTGCAGTAATATCTCATTAAGCTGATTAGTATGCTGCTTAGAAACAGTACTAGGTGCTGTAACACATGATTATAATCATAAAAATCCTTCAGTGTTTGCAAGGAAGCATTAACGAGGTATATTAAATTTTAAGGAGACTGCGAGTAGCGGCTTTGCAAACCTCAGAGATTAAGATTTAACCCTTATGTTACGAAACACTGTTATTTTGTCATTTGATAACTGTGTCCATCAAAAGAAGTATAAATTATCTCTTGGTAGAATCTTAGTAGATTGCTGAGACTGTTCAAATTTGGGTAGAGGTAAAGACTTACACTTTACAGTGGGTTCTCCCTGTTCTTCAACTGGCAAGATATCTGAGGCAGGACTTTGATTGGGCTTAAAGAGATCTTTTATAGAGCTAGATAAAAACCAATTAAAATCCAGGGACGATGCCATAGGAAGTCTCAACCAAGTTTGAGTGTTTTTAATAACTTTCCCAATATACAGTAATGAGTACAAATTGTACCTGCACTATGTGTTTTGCAGAAAATTAGAACTCAAAACTGTTTGTTAAACACTAACACTCAAAGCTAGTCTGCATAATTGTCTTTAATAGACCGCTCTGCCCCTCTGCAGCCTGTGCAGAATGGCAAAAGTCAACCTGTTCCAGTGAGTCGCAGGGAAGAGCCTCCCCTACCCCAGAGCATGCAGGGGAGCTCAAGATTGACAGTCAATAGGGTCCTTCTATTTGCAGATCTGACTCCACCTAAGGAGCCCAAATACATTTCCTGCCACAGAATGGTTTCTGCACATCTCTCCTCTTTGTATCCCAATGTTTAGCTGTATTGGCTATCCAGGTGGTCCAGGAGCTTTGTTTAACTCCAGCCAGAAATGTGGGGCCAAGCAACTTCCCCAGGGGACCTGTGGGGACAGAGTTCAACTGTGGAGGAAGTACACTCAGCCCCAGTAGGGTCTGCTGCTTGCTGGGCCCCCTGCCAGACAGACTGTGCATGACACGAAGGGTCTCCAACAAGAGACTCAACTTCCTTGGCAAGGAGAGAGGCTGAGACCATCTTGCAAGAGACAGGGGGGAAAAGACATGGCTTTTGAGTTCCACAAGGGAGAGAGATTACAACCATGGTGCAGGGTTAACTGAACCAGTATCTATGGACGATGAATGGAAAACTGCACATGTTCACATGTATAGAAGTGCACGTCACTTGAAATAAAATAATGGCTTCCAATTTGCCATCTTTCCTCTTTGTTTCTGGTGGCAGTCTACACTCAAATGAAAACAAACATTTTGAAGACTGGGCAGAAAGGAGTTAATTTTGCACAGAGATTCTTGTATTCATTCAACAAGCTTGATGAATTCTCCTCGGTGTGTGCCAATCCCTGTCCCTAAAGACACAATGATGGACATGACTGGCCCAGAACTCAGAGCACCCACTGTCCAGCAGGAAGGAGCAGGTTCAGAGTGTAGAAGTGCTGAGGGCTCCCAGCAAGCATTAGCAGCCTCCAGGCCCTATTTGGAACCCTTTCTTGTCCTTCAAACTCCACACAGCCTTGCTGGCTCTTCTGAGCACATGTAGATCATGATCCTGGAGCCACATAAGTATGCTCAGAACTCCACCCATAAGCTCTGTGGAAGTTTGGACAGTCCAAAGCCAACATGGCTGGCCCAAGGCTGCCCAGTTGGCCAGCTCAAAAGACAGGAATCCAAGAATCCAGGCTCTTTTCGGGTTGCCGCTGATGACCGGATGTGAATTTAGCTGAGAGAGGAGGCTAAAGGTGTAATATAGCAAGACTGCAAATCAGGTTGATGAGGGGCATCAAGTTGAAGACTATGCCCTGCCTCACTGCCATCATGCAGTGCAAGTAATAGCTCAGCTTGTCAACCAACAAACTTGAGAGTTTTCAAGTTCAACTAATGAACATGGGAGTTTTGAGTACAGAATTCTTTATTCTGTTCAAAAATAAACATTTTTGGTTTTGGGGTTTTTTTCCCCCCTAAGCACCAACACTTTTTAAACCCCTTTGAACAACTGGTCTTCAGACGTCATTGCCGATGCCTCAATGGAGGGGGAAAAGAATGTTCTAGAATGCACTTCCCAGCTCTTTACAGAGTTGGCTTCTTTCGTGATGTAGGTCTGAGCTGACACAACCTCTTCTTGCAAAGATCCTTTGCAGCCATCCTGTAGGAGGTCGGCATCCCCAGCCCCTCTCTATCCTGACAACTTTCTTCATAGCACTCACCACTAGTGTGATGTCCCCTTTGAGGACATGCTTCTTTTCCATGAGGGCAGAGGTCTTGTCTGCTTGGTCAACGATGAAGCCTTGGAGTCTGGAACAGAACTGGCTCATCTTAGCTTTCAATATTTCCTGATTGAATGGATGAATGACTGAACAGATCCTATAAGCACAGCCCATAAAAGATGTCAAGCCCCAAAGGAAACTTGTTCTCACCTCAATCTCATGTGATTCAACATGAGCATTTTCATAAGAAGGTCTACAATCAGATGTATCAGAGCTGAGAGGATCTCTTAGCTATCACTCAGAAGCCAAAGGTCCAGAAACCAACAAAGAAAAGCCACATCCACCACCATTTCTCTCACTGCAGGTAACCAGGTTGATCATCCCAGGCTTCAGCCACCTCTGATGGCTCTACTGCTAGACACTAGGAGAATATTACCCCTTCAGAACTTAGCAGACCACCATGGAGCCCATGAGAGACCCCAGCGTTTCAGAGGAGCCAGCCAACTCCCCAGGATTATGGCCCCAGGCCCTCAGATGAGCCTGGGAGATGCAGAGGTCGTGTCTGCTGGGCCAACGATGCTTGGCCCAGCGCTGTGCCCCAGTGGTCAATGAGCAGTGAGCCCCCCTGGGCCACGGGGCTGCATTATATGGTCTGCTCAGAATCTTCTGAGCTTCCATGAGCAGGTGCAGCTGAGGACGTGGTGATGAGCCCGACACAACCAACGCCTGCTGTTTGACTCAGAGCAAGAAAGGGAAGCGTGAGTTCTTGGAAAGAGTGTGGGGTAATTGGTGTGCTGTCCCTGGGCCAAAGCAGCCGAGGCAGGATGAGCTGGCCCCAGGCCCGGCCCGGGACTCATAAAACCTGGGTCGGCCCCAATTTCTCCACACTTCGCCCGTCCAGAATTTATTTACTCCTTACCTCTGCCATTCAGTTAATATTTGCCAGGGACCTTTATGTGCCTGGCCTCAAGAGCCTGTGGGCCATGCTGGGGAAGCAATGAAAGGCCCTTGCAAAGCTGAATCCAAAGTTAGAGAAAGGACAAACCTTTGCAGCTATGTCTACAAGGGTGTGTGTGTGTGTGTGTGTGTGTGTGTGTGTGTGTGTGTGTGTGTGGTGTGTGCACCCACACACAAGCGTGCATATTAAGTGTGACCATGTTAAGAAAAGGGCATAGATTCCCCAACTGGTGGCACTCCAGAAACTTAGACAAATGCATACTTTGAGGAACTCAGGGTTCATTTATCCTACCATTAAAGGATCAGATCCAACTGTTGCCGTAGGAGTACGCGGGCCTGGAGGAGGTGGGACTGCCCACAGGGGCGCCACTAGTTCTGATAGAAGGTGTTATTACTCCTTTTCCCAGCCCTCTGGGGACAAGCACATGGAGAATGCCTTTCTTTGGAGACCAAACGGATCCCTCACTGAATGTGTATCCATGTCCCTGGAGGGACCTCCACGCACGCGCGCGCGCACACACACACACACACACACACACACACACACACAATGCTCCACAGGCATGTCTTGAAGAGCAGGGCAGACTCACACATCCACACACACGTGCTATGCCCCACTGTTCCCAGGGAGCTCAGCCCATCCTTCACTCAGCAACACTGAGTCTGGACTCAGCACCAACCACCCTGGAGCTGGGGTACCCACATTGAGAAGTCTGGGGCCAGCAGAGGGCAGGCCATGATCCTGGCCCTACGGCAAAGAATAAGGCCCAACCCTCTGAGTAGCCTGTAAATACCTCACCTAGGTAGGAAGACCTTTAACACAAATAAAAGGAAGTAAACAAACTAGGAAACAATGAGAATGACTGGCCCCTGGCCTTCAACTCCTGGCCCCAGCCCTAAGCATATAAGGAAGAGGATCAATAAACCCTGGTTGACTGGCAGAAGGAACCAATGAATACATAATTGACCTAACTCTGGAAAGGCAGCCAAATGACCTCACTGGGGCGAGGCAGTTCAAGGTCACTGTAAACACAGAAACATCACAACATTCCTCCCCGTCCTGACCTATCCTGACCCAGTCCTGACCTGTCCTAGCAAGGTTATGGCAGGGTGCTTCTAGCTCTCAACCCCATGATCAATATTGATGAAGAATCAGACTTGTATGTGAGTCTCGCC